TATTAAAACTATTTATATAATTTCTAATATCATAGTTAAATCCTGTTTTCATTTATTCGGAATGTCATTTACTAAGGAATTAATATTACCCATGCTCATTCTTCAAACGATAGTGTCTATGGTTGTGAAAAGTCATGCTACTTAAGAATTATCTTGGATCATAAGTTATTTTTAAAGTTACTTGAGAATAAATCCAGATTACATAAACAATTCTCAGCTTCAGCTTAAAATTATTAATTTTACAGAAAATTGCTTCATTTATAAGTAAAACCATTACTTCAGCAATTAAAAACTAGTACTTTTACTATAAATTAAAAAACTTTGAAAGCTTAAAATATGTAATTTTACATATTATTAATATAAAGTTATAATTCATTGTTTAATAGCAAATATTACATGCAATAAGACTCTTTAAAAGCTTTTAAATTAGCATTAAAGTGACCAAATTGATCAGTAAATTTCATCACTTAGCAAAAAATTTTGACAGTAAATTACTATGTCTGGTCTGTGCATGCTATAGTATGCTACGTTCAGAATTAAAAATAGATAAAATTCAATTACCCTAAAAGACATTTCAAGATTCTCTCCACCCCAGATATCCATTCCTGCATCGTAAGTTCCTATCTCTTCAAAGTAGTTTCTGTCAATAGAAAATAGGCCACCAGCCATAGTAGGGGTCCTAGTTGAAAAACAAAAACAAAAACAAAAACAAAAAAGAATATCTTTTGAAACCAATATGGAGTTTAAGAAACTATATCAATATTTTTCACATTTTAAATATAAAAATGATACTCAAAAAGTTCTAATTAGAAACACAAAGCCAAAGTATGAGAGTTTTGAAAATGTAAAAGTTTCACTTTCAGGTTTTAACTCTATTTAGATTAGTCTATGATTTGCTTAGATGAAAGAAATAGATACAACGGCCATTTAAAACTGGGAATTCTACTTGCCTTCTGAAAGCTTAGTGAGAAGAGATTACTTCATTTTGTATTGTCTTTAAACAGATTACCTGCTTACAAAACTAGCACTTGTGGTCTTTGACATATAATTACAAATCATTGTAATGTGAAGTCTAGGAAACTCAGTAATTGCTTTCTCTATACGAAAATCTACAGACTGCTTAAATACTAACAGTATTGAATGGCATAAAGGTTTTACAAAAAATATAATACTCATAAAAGTGTCTTTAAACAGAAAAATTTTACATCTCTTCGCTTATTTTTTTCTTAATGTACTGAAAACAGCAGGACTCATTTGACAGTGGATAAGCACAATTTCCCTACAGTATTGAGAAGTTCAGAACTATCAATGTGGCCTCTAAAACATTTTCATAGGAATAAAAACCTTTTTGGTTCTTATGTTTGAGATTTCTTTATAGGAACCAAGAACTGAGATGGTAAGCTTTGAAATGATTTGTATGAAAATATCAATTAAAGGCAATTGTTAATATGTGAGGCAATTGTTAATAATTCTGTATTCCTTTCATTGGTAATTTTATTGAAAAGGCAATTGTTAATTGTTTATAATCTGTGTAATATAAAGATAAAAAAGAAAATTCTAGTTGTTCACAAATAATACTACCAACAATATTTTTTGCACATTAATTGTAATACAGTGACTTCTAACATCTATAATGTACTACCATGGGGGAAGAGAAAACCCTCAGAGCTTCATATTTGGTTACTACCTCCCACAGATTTAGATCTAATTGGCCTGGGATGAACCAAGACTGGTATTGCATAAGTCCTCAAGGTATTTTCATGCATCACCAAAGAGGAGCAACATTGATCTAATAGCTTAGATTTGGAATGCTAACTTGAGTGGTCTGTGAGATTATTAAAAAACCAAATATTTGCTTTTCTAGAAACTGTATCTTCCTTTATCAATGGTTATTCATGCCTTCTAATTAAATAGTACAGCTTATTGTAAAAAGCATCAAATAATATTGTAGTTGGATATCAAACATATTGCAAAATCCTTTATTTCTCCCAGCGCTCTCACTGTTTTATACTCAGGTAATTAACTGTCCATCAGTTGGAGTAGCAGAGGAATGCTGAGACTTGGAGCTGTTTTATTGCTTCTAGTCTTGCTGGGTTCTATCATGAACAACATCATTGACCTTCTGAGGTATAATGAGAAACACGAACAAAGCTAAACAGATGGCAATTACAGAGTAGCCATGACCTCACCTGATTAGGGTTTTAGAACTTTATGGCAAAAACTATATAAGGTATTACTGGGCTGGAGAGTCTATTTAATAAAATTATGGACAAAAATTGCTGCAATTATCCTATCATAAGGCAACCAAATGCTTAATAGCATTAAGTGATGCATTCTAATAATCAGTTCAGAGAGCAGATCTATGTATATGCTTACTGATAAATTACTAACATATTTTAATTTAAATATCTGCAATACATTTCACATCATGGTTGGCAATTCCTATAAATACTTGTGTAAAACAAAAGACAAATGGTAAAAACTATATTTAACAATATGAATGACTAAAATATTTTTATATATTAGAAAAGTAATGAAAATTTTCTCAAATATACACTGTATTTTCTAAAGGCAGATGCCCTTAAAGAAGACTTTTGTCAGTAACATCACATTGTTCTCTCAGATAGCCTAAAGACCATATTTTATAATATTTAACACTTATATGATCAATGTTATGGAACACATTGTATTCTAAGTCCATTGCTCTATAGTACCCCTAGTGATTGAACTATTTACGTGCTTCTGTGCACCTTAAGTACTCAGGGTGTTTAGAAAATAGGAAACTTAGATGAAGGTTAAATTAGCTGAGATTATTTAATTTTTTAGGATTGTGTCTAATTGGTATCAGAAGCATCAATTCAATTTCAAAAACCAGGGTATAATCATTGCATGACTATTAATACTTCCTACTATGTAGGAAGTAGGTGAAGATAAATGGAATGAATAAAGCCAAGAAGTAAGCTGAGAGTCCAGCACATAATAAGCCATTAATGAAGTTACACAAGTTATTTTTGTTGCTGTTTAGACATTAATCATTCAATCCAAAGCCTGAGGTCCTTATTTTTAGAACCACATACATATATCTTCATTTTGGCTCTCAAAAATCTTCGTAACTACTTCATATCATACTTAGATGTGCTTCTATGAACATAACTTCCCATTCTTTAATCCCTACTATTGTTACTAGGGGTAATTTATTAGCCTCCATCCATAGTTATCGTTTCTTAGTTGATTCATATTTTCATATTAGTAATCCTTCAGGATTTTTTTTCTTCCTTCTTCCTGTCCCCTCTCCAAAGATCTACTATGTTAGTGGGAAATCAGTTCAGTGTCTTTGGTACTCTGTCTTTGCTTTGTGTGATACATTTTCTTGTCTGTAATTTTATGTACTTGGATTAACTGAACTTTCAATTCATCAGTTTCTGCTACTAAAACCCAGATACTCTGGCAAAGTAATGAGGTGAAGCCAATTGGAAATACTACGATATAGTACTATTTGCTTTAATCACAACCTCCTAACAATACTTATAGCAATGTTTGCTTGTTAATTTGTCCTATTTTCCAAAGTATCTTGTCCAAAGGTTTGGATTCTTCTAAAAAGGAAATAACCATATCCTGGAGAGTCGGGCCATCTGTAAAATCTAAACTCCCTTAAGTTCTACATCAATAATTACGCATCTTTCTCATGTCCTCTGATTTCCTTTTGTTTCATGGGAAAAATGAGTATCTTCTTACTTCTTTGTGAGCTAATGGTCATTCAGACAGTTGTTCCCTCAGCCAGGTCCCCTGACTATTCTTTTAGTCACCTGCTCATTTACTGTATTTATGTTTTATGCCTTTGACTTCTAGATTGCTCCCTTGAGTTTGCAAACCTGTTCAGTTCAGTTCTATTCTAAACCAAAATACATCTACACTCCTTCTTCCTATTCTTTGAAACTAGGGCACACATTCTGTATCCCTTTCATTGGCAATTTTATTGAAAAGATACTTTCTAAACTTCCTTAAATCTTTTGACCTTACTAGAAGCTGGAACCCACACCTATTTCTGCAATCACTTTTACCTGAAAGACCTTCATTTATTCAGAACTTCAGTAGCCTTTCCTTAACTTTTCTTCTGAAAGTGTTTAACACCATTTATCAGGCACCTGCTTGAAATTCTTTTCACCTCTACTTCCATGGCAATATTTGTTCTACAGAGGTTCTTCCTTCCATTGATTCAATACTATATTTTCATTCTTATCTTTACCATTTCCTCTTCCTTTCCCTTGTAAGCTATTAGACAACGAAACAAGCTTATTTTCACAACCATGATATGAGTTAATTATATCATGATAATAATTTCTGCAGATGTATTCATGCAAGTTTTATCTTTTCTTGACTAAAATATGATCTAAGAATTTTTCTTGGAGCTTCCCTACCTCTATGGTCATTATTTTATAAGATATTCATATGCCATTTGCTGTAACCTCTATGACGTCGACCCTTAATTAATCATTAGTTTTCTCAGTTTTACCTCTATTATTGAGTTTTTCTAATTACTCTGTTTCCTTCAGCATGAACCACTCCTCTAGTCTGTTATTTATAATGCAAATAACACAATTTCTAAACTGTTAGTCTTTAGGTCTGTTTTAATAATATGTATCAAATGTTATAATTTATAATTTTTAAAACATAAGAATGAATGTTTTATTATTTACACTAATCTAATGCAAGAAGAACTAAAATATGTACTATTTCTATTTCTAAAATGATGAACTACAGAGGGCCGGGGAGATGACTCAGTAGAATAAGCGCTTCCCTGGCAAGTGCAAGGGTTTGAGTTCAATCCCTGGCTCCGGAAAAAAAAAAATGATGAACTACAATGTTGTTATGGTTTATGTATAGGTGTCCCCCCAAAACCTCATGCAGTTTTGGGGCAGCTTCTGGAGTTTGTGATGGATTACTGTGGGTGTGGATGCTGCACCTGCACTGGGGCAGGTAGTTTGCATTACAATGAAGGTGTGAAGAGAAGCTAGCTGCCTGAGCTGCTGCTACCCCTCCCTTGTGCTCTTGCTCTTTGCCACCACCAGGAAAGGTTGCTTTCTGCTGTGTGCCGCTCTGCCTTGGAGCCAGCTGAGTATGGACTGAAATCTCCAGTAACTGTGCGCTAAATAAACCTTTCCTTCCTTCATTTTGAGTGTCAGGTATTTGTCCCAGCAATGAGAGAAGATTAACTAAGACAAATGTCTTCATTTGATGAATGTTGCACAGATTTAGAAATCAAGAAGAAACTAGATGCCGTACATTTATTTAGTAGTAGTAGTAGTAGTAGTAGTAGTAGTAGTAGTACTATTAGTATTAGTATTTTGGCGGAATCGGGGATTGAACTCAGGCCCTTGTGCTTGTCAGAGAAGCGCTAATTCCACTGAGCCATCTCCCCGGCCCCATTTATTTTCTATTTTCCTTAAACCTATTACATCCAGTATGGAAAGCAGAAAAAGAGAGTAAAAAAGGCAAAGGCACAAATACTGTTTTAGTATGAAAATGCACCTTTCTGAAGTCAGCTTTTTTTTTTTTTTTTTTTTTTTTTCTTTTTTGGTACCAGGAATTGAACTCATGACCTCGTTCTTGCCAGGTAGGCACTTTGCCTCTAAGCTATATTCTTAACCCTGAAAATGCAGCTTTCTATCAAAGAAATTG